GCTCGTTCACTATTTTTCATGGCCATGTTGGAAGATTTAGATATGGGTGTGCCACCACTTATGGAATATATCACATTCACCTGGCGTTGGTTACGGTTACCCTTGGAGGGTGAACAAGGAATTGATCAATTTTTCTTTCACGTGCAAAGCTTCAACATGATCACGAAGGGTGATACATTTCTCGCCGTCATAGCCGTTATGCTCATGGTAGCAGCAAAACGTGCTCGTGTTCTTCCTGGGCTTGTAATCCGGATGCCTCGGCTTTGGCTTTGGTATCAAGTGTGCTATGCTGGGGTAAATGGCCATGCATGTGGCGTTCAAGGGTGTGTATGCCTCATACCTTGGGGTAGGGGTTGTCCTGACACGTGTTTGACCCACTGTGTTGACTGCCTGGGGTCGGGGATTATCATGGCCATACCCTTGGTTATCGCGGTAATGTCCCTTACTCCTTTTACTAAAATGAGACTGGTAAGGATGGAAATCTTTCCTTTTGCCCTGAGATTGATATTTCTGTTGACTTGGCAAAGTATTAAGTAAGGCAGGGGGAGGCACCGCTGCCGTTTGGAAGGCGAGGTCTTTTCATTTGGTTGGATCTGGCTTCCACTCCCTACTTGCTGATAAGGGGTGGCTGTGAGGGGTTTCCCTTGATATGTCCTTGCCTCGACGGAGGCATGGTTGTAAGCATGTGCCATCACCTCATAGTAAGTCTTCCAAGTGTTGGCATTGATCATGTACTTGAAGAAACAGTCACGTAGGCCTGCCGTGAAGGCTTTGAGGGCAGTCTTGTCATCTGCCTCGGCACAATGGGAATACTCATGGCTGAAGCGACCAGCATACATACGTAATGACTCGTCTGGCTTCTGGCGAATAGTGTACAAGTCATCTGCAGAATGCAAACGATCGGTCTAGAAGATGTGTTGAGAGACAAGCAGTTTCCTCAGTTCCTCAAATGAGTCTACTGTCTCAGGTGGAAGACGGCAATACCAGTTTAGAGCTCCGCCAGAGAGGGTGGAGGGGAAGAGAAGACATTGTTCTTCGTCGGTGTGCATCCGATATGCCATGGTGGACTCAAAGAGGTTAAGGTGTTCAATTGGGTCTTCCCTTCCAGTATAGAGTTGTAAACCAAGCTTTTGTTTTGTCTTCGCTTGAAGAGAGGTGTCGAGGATCCTCCTTGTGAGAGGGCCAGGCCTGGGTTGGTTCCAGTCAGGTATCTCAGCCTGACGTTCGACCTTCAACTTGTTTACTTCCTCAAGGAGCTGTAGGATAAGGGGGTCTTGAGTGGAGTTATGTACCACTGGAATTTTCTTTCGTAAGTCTCCATCGCCTCTTGGAAGTAGGAAAGTTTGAGCAAGGGCTTATGATTTTTCCTTGAACTCGTCGTATTGAGTTCTAGGGCAAGTCTGTCAGAATACCTCAGAGTCTCATGTACCTTCATGTTCCTCTGGGACCTGTCGTTCCTTCCTTAGATTGGCAGCTGGCTTGGGTCGTGGGAGGGGACCGAGTCTTTCAGAAACCCTTGGGTCATTGATCTTCGAGCATATGTAAAGGGGATTCTCTCGATGTTGCTTTAGGAAGTCTCGGTAGTCACAATAAACGACTTTCGATCCTTCCAACCCTTCTGCAATGAGGTGTCTTCCTCCACTTCTCCTGCTTCGGGTCGAAGTAGCTGGGTTGAGAGAAGTCTCATGTTGATCAATGTTTTGATGATTAGCTCGCTCCTCATCAGGGATACCCATGTCGAAGGAAGGTGACCCTCCGTGTTAGGGGGCACCCAAGTGATGATTGATGTCCACAAGGGTAACAAGCTCGCATGTTTGAGTACGCCTAGTTTCGTGGAGCGTCTCAAAGAGCTTCTCATACTGCTCTTGGATGACCTCATTCTTCATTGCTATCTTGTTGCTCTGAGCTTCTAGCTCATCGACTTTAGCTTGAAGAGCAAACCTATTTCCTTCCTTCTTTCGTTGCTTCGCACTAGGTGCAAAAGGGGTGTCATTCTGTGTGTTGTGGCTTCCTTCGCTCCCCATGTTGGAGAGGGATGCCTGGTCGAAAGAGAGTGTACGAATGGTGGAAACCAGCTTGACAAAGCTGAAGAGAATGGGAATAAGTGTCGTTCCCACAGACGGCGCCAAATGTTGATGCACAAAATCAGCGAGAACTTTGGTACAACAGAAAGTGTTAAGTTTGTGACCTTCGCTAGATCGCTCTGGTCACTAGTGTGGATAAGTATGTAAACGGATAGAGACAAGGAAGCAAACACAAGATGTACGTGGTTCACCCAGATTGGCTACGTCCACGGAGTAGAAGAGTTCTCATTAATTGTGAAGGGTTTACACTAGTACATAGGTTCAAGCTCTCCTTTAGTGAGTACAAGTGAATGATTTAGTACAAATGACATTAAGAAATATTGTGAGAGAATGATCTCTATTTATAGAAGAGAGTTTCTAGTTTCATTCTGACATTGACACGTGTCATGTTGTGATTGGCTTCTGATGTTGACACGTGTCGCACTATGATTGGCTTCTGATATCGACACGTGTCGTGCTGTGATTGGCCTCCTGGTTGGAGGGAAACTCTTCTGGGTCCTTGACGGTATAACGTTGACCGGTGCTCAGTAGTTTCGGGATTGGTCAAGTATGGTACAAACAACCGTCATCTTTATGTTGGATTAACTGTCATTTTAATGTTAGATTAACTTCTTCATGAAGGGCTTGCAAGGAGGGAAAAAAGGGGTTTCAATGATTTTTTCTATATTACAATCATCAATGTATTTATTTATCAATTTTACTTTTTTGGGGATTAAAGTTATAGAATTAGATTCTCTTTCCTCCTATTAACATCCTCTTCCATCCTCTCCTCTCACACTCTTCTTTTTGTCTTATTCTCTATATAAAAAATTCAAAGCAAGATGTAGACTTGGCGTAATCACAACTGTTAAAATAGGAGGGGATGGAAGGGGAGCAAGATTAGGAAGGAAGAGAATCATACTCCTAAAGTTATAACTAACCTCTTCGAAAGAGGAATCGGAGATTACAGTGGTGATTGTTCTGGTGCAATCCTTTTTTTTTCACTGTAAAATACAAACAGAGAGACACACATGCACCGCAATGTTACTATTTTGGTAAACCATTTTCTGCCATGGCAAAAATCAACAACATTTGTATATAAATACGCACATCCTCGATATATATAGTACCCACGTACTTAAACAATAACCCGAAGAAAAATGTGAAAATATGATCAGTAGGAAGATGTTGTGCGTGTGTTTTTATGTGTGTTTCTAGCTTTGTTTTTGTCTCTGGCCTCTCTCTCTCTCTCTCTCTCTCTCTCTCTCTCTCTCTCTCTCTCTCTCTCTCTCTCTCTCTCTCTCTCTGCGCCAACAGTCGATTAATTAAAATAGCTAGGGTATCTTTTTCACGTGGGCTGTGCCCAACCCAATTTGCACCGCAAGACTTAGGTATCTTGTGTTTTCTTTTCCATGCTTGAACCTCCTTGATAGGCCGAATCAGGTAAGGAGAAGACTCTGACTGAAAAGGAAAGGAAATAAACAGCACTTCAACTCCAAAACCTAAAACCTGGTAGCAGCTGCACGTTGCTGCCTTCCAACCACAATATATCAAAAACTAGTAAAAACCCCTAGAAAAAAAAAACACCACAAGAAAACTATTTGAAGGCGGTGAAACACGATGATCAGGCATAATTGGATTGATAATATACGTGAATTGGTTATATTCAAAGTAACAAACAATAGTTTTTCAAATTACGTATTCTTTTTTAAACGATATTTGTAAATTAATGTGATTGGTGAATCACATGTGTGGAGAACTGTAAGGAGCCAACCCTAGTGTAAGAGAATTGAATTGAAGCCACCTACAGTACTGTAACGGACAATGCCAATAGCAAAATCATTTAGACAAGGAAAATGATTTTCTACACATATTTATTGTTATCATGCACACTCATTTATTTACGACTTTTAGATTGAAAAAACAAAGAATATTCAAACGACATAAATAAATATGAGTGTACAAAGGAGAAAAATAGTACTATAAAATAATTTCACTTGAGAACAAGAAAATTCTTTGTTAAGTTATGGGGGAGATAAATTAATAAAGGAAAAAAGGTACTAGAATAAGAAAGGTGAGAGACAGGGTCAGATCATTCTAAGATGATGGATTGATAAATGTCCATTTTTTGATAGGAAGACAAATGCCCGGCCGTTTGATCAACTTTTTGGTTAACATTAGTTTGACTAAAGAGACATGCACTTCTGTAAATGAAGGGATCGAAGTTTTATGTCGATATCGACGGTAGAAGGTTATCGGAATTTCCGAATAAGACAATGTCTTATAATTAAGTAAGACGATTGACAAATAAGTTGTCTTCTCCTAATTAAGCATGTAACCAAATAGTTATGGTTCCCACCACATGAAAAGAAAAAAAAATTACTGTGGTTCCCTTGCACCATTACAAGTTGGGACTTTGAAATTGGAAAGAAAATATGAGGTTGACTCGTGGATCTTCTTGATATGTTAAGTTATTGATTAGAGCTTATGCAAATGTAGATTATAAGGAAAACTAATGAAAAGGGTTTGAAAACTTTGAGTTTTAATGATAAGGACAAAATAAAGGGTAAAATGAATAGTACCAGGATTGACTTTTTAGTGTAAAAATATGGTTTTTCGTTAAAGTGAACAGTACCGGGAGCTTTTCGTTAAAGTTCCCTAGATTATATCAGTAGCTAGAGCCGTGTACTCCATTGCATACAAAGTCAAGTCATTTCACATCTTTTTGTAGGAAAATCATCTCCTTGTCTTTTCTTGTCAATTTAAAATACTTTCACAACACTTTAGTTTGACCATTGGGTAAAGCTTTCTCAAAGGCTTTGGGCTCAGAAGTAAGGCTGGGAGCCCATCATCAAGGTTTCTCATTATTTAGTTTTCTATGTCATTATTTTTTCCTAATATGTCATTGTTTAGATCATCGTGAAACAAAGATTGTTTGTCCTTTCGGGAACATCCGACAAAATTGAAACGATACAGAGAAGATTAGTATGGCTGTTGCACAAGAATAACATGCATAAATCAAGAAAGAAAGATTTAAACTTCAGAACTTTTTCATTGTTTTAAAAAATGTACAACTAGACTAATTACTACTTGGTTTATAAATGTGATTACGATGTTACGCAAAGTTTCATAAGAAAATTTGGGTACTCAAGGGTTTGTTTTGTGTCAGTAAAATGTAAAAGTAAAAATTTTAAATTCTAGCAATTGACGAATTTAAGATACAAACTGTAATCAAAAGGATTGTAAGACTTTATGCAAATAAGTTTCATATATTTCATAGAAGTTTTTCAGTGACGTCAATTCAAATTACAAAACATGTATATATTCTTATTGTTTCAAGTTGCAGAGAAATAACAGATCACAACAAACAAAACAAAAAAATGCTTGATCAACATGATCCCTTGCAAATTTCATTCTCCACATATATATCTCGATGGATATTATTATTAGGCAGAAACGAAACAAAGTCAAAGCATATCCCCCAGGAATGTATCCATTAACATGCCGGCCCGGATTTCCAACATTCATTCCATTATGTGAACCCAAATGGGTGCATGAGTGTATCTGCATACCCACTGACTTTATGCAAAGTAGTAAGAAAAAGAGAAAAAGAAAAAGTTAAAATTGTGTCTCTTAACTTTTTAAATAACACAATTTGAATTTCAAAAAGTTGAGTGAGACAACACGAGTTGCAATGACTTTGTCGTAAATAAGTCTCAAAAGAAAGTGAAGTTGATTAATACAAAAATAATTAATGGAGTTTATTTTTTAAAAGGGTGGAATTAGTTACCCAATTTGGTAAGTGGAGTTGTTTCCTCCCAAAGGATGGAAGAAGGCTTCTGAGTTGGAAGGAAGCCAAGTTTGCTGACCATTGTTGTGGCCATGGCCAGCAGCTTCCCTTGCCATAAATTGTGGAGCTTGCACACTTGTTTCTTCCAGCTGTACGTTCAATTATATATACATTTAAATAATATACTTGGAAGAAAAAAGCTGAAAGGTTTCAACCCTAAACAAATTTGATGAATAATTCCTTCAAGTAATAATCAGATATAAACAAATTTAATTTTGTAAAGCATAATCATTAATTTGTTTATTACCTTCCTCCTCAAGGCTTTGTTAGCTTCAACTAGCATTTGTTCCTGCTCAAGAATAAAAGGCAAGGCCAGACATTATGTATAGCGAAAACATGCATGAGTATATTGTGAAAGTGTATCGATCAATGATGCTAAAACGAGATTAATTCATGACTTACCGTGTTTTGAAGATCAGAAAGCTGATCAAGCATAAATTGAGTCTGATCAATAACAAGTGGCGACAAAAATTATCAGAAAATCATTTATCTCTTGAACATGCATCACCATGAACTGTAAGTTGGAATGAACAATTCTAGCTAGTATTCTAATATCATAGGAAGATAGCTATACAGTTTATATGCCTCAGGCCCTCAGTCTATCCACATAAAAGCATATAGCTCAAGGAGTGAAGGCCCAGGTTTGTTAGGGTTAAGCCACCAGTTTTCAAAACGCTCAGTAGATGAAACCAAAATTCTTTGAGTTAATTAAATAATTACCTTTGTTGACCTTATTTTGTTCAAGGAGGTCTCCAGTTGATGCTCAAGCTCCTCAAGCTCCTTTGTATTCAGGGTGGCCAAATCTTCCCCAAGAAGGTTTCTGCAATATTAGTTAATTCAGGACGATCATCAATCTACTTATTTTTTTCATATAAAACGGAAGATTAGGTAATATTAGCTCATTGGAGTAGAACGATGTAGGACGCAGAGCGTTCACTCTCAAACCGATGAGTTGGAAGCTGGGAAAGATTATTAATGAAGATTATGGATGCAAAAGTACTACCTTTGAGATTGTTGGAGGACGTCAACTCTTGTCTCCAGCTGCAAATACTCCTGATAGCTGTTCTGCTTGGGGACAAATTAAAAACAATTTTGTCATTAGGTCACAATTTCTATCTAGGATTCTCGATCATCAACAAACTCTAATAGTATACACGCAAACAAATACTGATTGAATGTATCGGTAAAGTTTGAGTGTTTTGGTTCTCATAATAGTACTCCAGCTTAATTAGCTACCTGAGTCTCCTTGGCAGGTCGGTTGGCGTCCAGGGAACTATAACTGCATCTTTGGTACTTTTCAAGCGTTTTCATCATGCTAAAGATGAACAATTGAAAAATACAGTAAGATCACTACATTTTTAATCACAAAAAAAAAGGATTGGAAACTTCTAGAATAATTAATAGATCATTGGATGACCCACAATTAAAACAATGTAGATTCAGAGGAAGAAAACAAAAAAGATTAAATATTAAGCTTTTAGATATGTAAACAAACACACATTATTATCTTAGAGGAACAATATATTATTAATGCAAAGTCCAAACGGGAAAGGTGAAGAAGGATTAGGTGAGCTAAACAATACATAAATTACTCTCTTCTAGCTTATTGTGGTTAGAGAGAACCAAAATTCTTGAGGCTTGGTCTTTGACATACCATTGTAGCGTACTTTCTTCTCATAACAATTAGAAGAATCCTAAACGAGATCGGGAGATTCCTAGAATAATCTTCTTAATTTCAAAAAACATACATTTGTTAAATTGAATTAACCAATAATAAACAAAGTTCAACAGCATTTAACAATTCAAATAACATGAATGAGATACCATCCAGTGCTATGTTATCTGTCAGCTAGATATATAGGCTTAAAGCGACTTGCATTTGTACTACATAAAAAAGGAGAATTCAGAGTTTTCAGTTTCATGTATGTGTATATATATAGTTAGTTGCTTGCTTGGAACCCTAAAATAAGGGTGGCAACTCTTATTACTTGAAAAAGTTTGGAACCAGAAGTTAGCTTGGCATTTTTCTAGTAAAATCTTGCCTTCATTTCCATTTCAAAACATATGTAATAACAAAAACTATATATATATATATATATATAGAAACTTAATGTTTGCAATATGTTGTTGTAAACAATTAGCCAATACCTATCACTATGAATAGAAGGAAATATATGCAATACTTGAGTACTGATGAGAGAAACTACAAGCATCATACAGTGATCATGTAATTTAGAATGTGATCGCAATTAGCTGAATTGTGACAATCAAATTCAGTAATATTAATTAAGTTATACCTCAATAAAAAAGAAGTAAATTTATCAACATAATAATTGTAACTGCATTAACATTGTAGAAAATCTGAAGACCAAGTCTTACACTACTAAGTTCTTTTTTTTTTCTTTAACAAACAGTGAGAGAATTACATTACATATGTCTAAACTACAAAAAAAAAATTGAATTTAGATGTAAAGAATGAAGCACACTACTATAGTCAACTTTAATAAACATACATTTGCGACTATTAAATTTTAATAACTAATGCTGTTAAAAATACAAAGTCACCGTATTCTTTTATAGAACAAGTAGCAATCAGTATAATAAGAGTGCTAATAACAAGACTGCTCAAAGTATCACTAAATTGTAATAAAAACTGTTATTCACACTTTAAAAGAATTATCATCATACTCCAAATTTATTAAAATCTTTCTCCAAAGTTTTTGCATAACCTTCGCAGCTTTGAAACAAAGAGGCAGACCTTTGTCTTTCTCTTACTGAAAATAATATTTTAATTGCAGCACAAAGTACCGCATGCAGAAAAATTAAACATCAAATCAACCTGGCACCGAATCATAACAGTGACCGGTAGTATTACTGGCCTCTCCCATTAGCAGAATATTTTTGCTTACTAAAGTGGTATTGATGCTCACTATTCTAATTATTATCATAATATTAATTTAAAATTTTAAGATCTGTATAGTAGGTAAATACAAATATTAAAATTTAAAATTTTCAAATAGTAATTAATAAGGTGGTGAGTACTACCATCACTCAAGAGTTGTGAGCAAAAATGTGAAGAAAGTTGAGGTTCCACCATAAAACCAATTGGCAATATGAGGAATAGCTCAATTACTTATAAGCTCATGCCCTCTCATGAGCCTAACACGTGGGACAACCTACTCTGATATCATGAAAAAAGTTGAGATTTCATCATAAAACCAATTAGCAATATGGGTAGTACTTCAACTTACTTATAAGCACATGCAAGGTTCTTCCTCCTATCAAAGTGGGATTCATTCTCAACAAAATGCATCCAAAAATAAAAGTGCAGTTGGCGACAATAAAAATAGAGAAATGCTAAGGGGATCTCTCAAAGATGAACTCTTCATAAACTCCCTGCCACCTCACAGTTTAATGTTAATTTCCGTACAAATATTGTAAAACATATGCCAAAAATATGAGGTAGCAAAAAGTTTATGTAGAATCACACTTCTGTGAGTCTCCCTGGCATTCCTCATAAAAAAAATGATCGACTCAGTAATTATCTTGTTAGTTATTTCTGGAAAACACCATGAATCAAAGTGTTCATCTTGTTGGTTTTAGAAGAGAAAAAGAAAACACACACAGACGCACACATAAAAATAGTATTAAAAACAATAAGCCAAATCTGTCTAAAAAAAGGACAAAATGGTTCACAATTCAGCAAAGTTGTTCAAATTAGCTGAATCCTATGTTTTATAAGTAGCAAATACAAAAAGCGAAATCAAAATTTTGCAAAACCTAAAAATTACTTGGGAAATTTTAAGCGTGTCTAACACAACGATAGGTTAACAATTTCAGAGCTTAAAAAAAATAATTAAATTTACAAATTCCATTTCTTTAAATTTGGGTAAATTAGTCTTTAAAACTAATGAAATATAAAAGATCAAAGATCAATTTAATTAAACTATATAGGAAAGATTGGTTGGGAGCAGCCTCTCCATTGGGAGCAGCCTCTCCATAAATGGGGGTAAGGCTAGCCGACATTCACCTCTCCCAGACCCTGCGTAAAGCGGGAGCCTTGTGCACTGGGTACGACCTTTTATATAGGAAAGATTGGGAAACACCACTAACAAACCAGTAAATTTGATTCAATTGTTTCAAAACCTAGTAAATTATCTTTTACTATATATAGCCTGCATAATCCAAGA